CAATTTTTATGAAAAAAAACATTTTTTTAAGAAAAATTACACAAAAATATTTAAACTCCAATTTTGTCTACTTAAAAAATCAATATCGTTAGTTTTAATAATTTTTAGCAGCATACAAATTTTTTGAACTAAAGCTTTCGTAAAAATTATGTCTTATTTTTCTCATACTTACAGCTAAGATTACATCGCTTTCGTATCAGTTTTCGGTATATACATAAACACTTTAGTTATAATTAGTATTAATCTTAGCCSCTAAATCTATATGCTAGAAATGCTAGTGATGTGTATTCGCTTTGAGGCCTCAAAATGGCCATTTGAGAGAAATTTACAAGTTCCTAACACTATTTTMATTTAAAATTAGCTTCAGATATTGGCTTACACCTATCAACTTGCCAACCAACATTATTATACTTGTATATTAAGGTTTTTTTACGCTAAAACTAATATTCATCGAAGCGACGAAAATACTATTCCATCTATATGTAGCAGTATACATTGATATATTACAAGTATATAATAGTTCTTTGGAATAATAAAGACTAAATTTTTACTCACTCACTAAAAATACTTCAAAGCTGGWGTGCTTTCGCCCATTCGGTCGACATGACCTTGCCAGCGTAGCTGGTGACTTTTATTCATGGAACATTGTCAATGTCGTCGTAGAATTCATACAGCTCATTGTTCCATCGTTTGCGGTATCTGTCATCACATAATTATGAATGTTTAAAAGAGAGGCTAGCCTTAATGAAGGCAAAAATTTCACAAATCTCTTGCGATGGATCTTGGGCGACAGCCCAGGTGCCGATTGTGGCTCAGCCCTGGCCAAGTTTCCATGAAGCCTCGCTGTCTAGTAGGATACGGGAGCCCCGATCCGCTAACATTCTATAAATAGCGATTCTAGGGTACCTTTTTATGTTAGCCATCAGCTTTACATTTTCCTGCGATTCCGCTGTGGGCTGGCGCCCATACCAGTCTCATCACAAAGACACTCGATGCTATTGATAGCGAGGTTAGGCATTCTTTGACCAGCCYTGAACGCACTATTAATAAGTTCAAGGCTAGTATCGCTCTGCTTTTTGAGCGGATGATCACTTTTTTGAAGAAGGCTGCATTCCAGCTYGGCCTGGAAGACACGGCAATAGTCAGGAAGTCTGAAACTGGATTTGGCAGAGAGCTCCTGATAGTAAACCCCACTTCCTATCCGTAGAAAGCTCACTGCCCCTCTTCTCCAACGGCKTCTTCCCAACTACAACTTCTTCGCTGGTTGCAGACGGAAATGTCAGATTTCTGGCAGCGGTGGCGCTGGCATCTTGTAGCTTTCAATGAAAAAAATCATCTTGGTTTTATTTGGGTTGATGSTAAGACCATTTACGCTGGGATTCCCCTATTCACACTTCGTCGAGCACGTGCGTTTCTCCACTCGTTTCAATCACTCTGTCACACAGAAGACTGAAAATGTGTGGATTCAACTCCAAGATCCTTCAGAGCAGTTACGACWGCTTMYTTWACAGGACTTTATTGCAAGCTCCATCTATTTAAAAKAAGGTCCCAACAGCGAATTCTTTAAGCTTAATGGCTTCCTCATAAAATGGCACGATAGTATGCAGGGCAGTATCTACTGACTTGCCTCTACAATAAGTATGTTGCGCTCTCGATAAATGGTCCTTCGGAATGCGCCCCCTTATTATCGAGGAAAATAAGTTACTTTTGAATAKATTTTTTAGAAGCCTAGTAGAATGTGAAGTTGGTTTTTTTCATTTTCTGTGCTTAAATGTATAGCTTTTTGAATTGAAGTAAATATTTATTTAGTGACTCAAATAAATTTTTATTACATTTTTATGAAAATATGGCACACTTTTTAGTTTTCTGAAAGGAAAATATAAACCTTTTTGAGCCGGTGTTAAAATTTATAAAAAAAAAAAAAAAATTACATAACCTCGTAATCGTTATAAGTCTCTTCGATGAATATTAGTTCTTGAGCGTAAAATAACTAATTACATAAMTATAAATACAAGTTTGTTTATAAATTATAGGTATGTAATGACAGCATACCTTATGCACCTACTTCTTTCGTTACTAATCTACTGAWTAAACCGAAGATTTGCGTTTTTTCACACACACTGTAGCTCTTGCTACATACTACTATGCCTTTAAGTGTTAAATTCGCCGAGTTTACTTATAAATTAAATTTATAAACTTTACTTCAAATACTAAGTATTCACGGCCATGCAGGCGGCGCCAATCATTGTGATTTTATGCAGACAATTTTTTACATGTATTTTTCGTTCTTACTTTAGTAAGTTCACTAGCAGTTTTATAAATCGTTGGTTTTTTTTTGTTTTTTTTTTGTGAACAAAACACCACTTTAGTAATGCATTGTGTTGTTGGGCTTGAAGCCCAAATTTTTACGCTGTAGAAATAGATGAATCTCACGGAAATTCGGTCGACTCGATTCGTTGCGCTGCCAGCACTCGCACATTAAATCGTAAATTTCACGCGGACAGTTTAGTGGCATCGGCAGTAGCTCCTAGTGGTGTGAAAGCAAAGAGTTGAAATATACTCAATATATAAGTATGTAAATATATGGAATTGTATTTATATTTTTAAAGCGATAAATTTAGTTATTGATAATCTATATATAATATAAACATAATAATTTTTAGTTGTTAATGACTCACATGCAACTTATCATCCGCATAGATATGTCCGATATTCTCAATCACCTTCTCATCCGATAAATGTTCGTAGGGTTGTTCGCGTGCAAAAGTTAATATCTCCCAAAGCGTCACTGCAAAGGACCAAACATCCGATTTCGATGTGAATTTGCCCTGAAAATAGATAAAGAGAAGAAAATGTTAATAATCCTTTTGGAAATCGATTAAAATTTTAATAAAATTAATAAGGAGTGATCCATTTCGAGGTGTCCTACTTCAAAAAAAAACAAAAAAAAAAAATTAAAAAAAAAAATTTAATGGGGAATGTTTATTATCATTCGAAAGAACATTCTTTTGCATTTAGTTTTTGAAGATTATCTCTTTTAAATGTTGGTTGGTACTACGTTTTAGATGCTCTATCCGTTGAGTTCATTTTTCGATGACACGTTCGAACATTTCGACTGGTWACTGGTGAATGARATACGTGAGGCGGAATTGTCCGCATAGGCTTTACAAATCTCCATAGGAAAAAKACCAGCAGTGTGATATTCACAATATTAGTGRCCAATCGACCGGCTCAAAATCTGAAATTATCTGCGCATTATCTGCGACATTTGGGAAATGGCAGCTCTTGAATCTTTTCAGTTTGCTCTTTGACCCAAATGCGGTAATTTGGCTTGTTTATATACCCATTGAGTTAGAAATGGGCTTCATCGCAGAATAAAATTTGGCTTGAAAACGTTGGATCTTCTTGGAACTTTTCAAATGCCCACTGAGCAAAGTGATGTTGCTTGGGAAGGTCGAACGGCTTCAGTTCTTGGACTAGATGAGTTTTACACGCTTTCAATTTAAGATATCAACGTAAAATGTGACAAGTCGTTCCATACGTCAGTCTGAGTTGCTGCTAATGGGGACGAATCGAACCTCCATGATCTTCGTGTACACTCTTAGYTACGGCTGCTATTATTTTTTCACGGAATGCTGGGTCGCAAGATGGGTAAAGGTGTTGCGAATAATAAGCTCATTAGTTCAGGCGCAAGTCTGTCCATGATGAAATGCTACAACACTCAGCAGAAATAATAGGACACGATTTAAGCGTGATCTGTCAAAGAAGTWTCTCTAGTACTTCTATAAAAAAAGAAATCGATTATGAAAACGATTTAATATGTTAATAAATATTTTAAGCGAATATTCAATCAATGAAAATAATTTTTCATTTAATATAATTTCATTAACAACCACAACATCTGCAATTTCACTTAAACGCACGAATGCACAAATTTTCGCACAGCTGTGTKTCGTATTGACTTGACACTTGTCAATGACAAATCACACAGTCCTACTCAAGATTTCTGTAGGGGAGAGTTTTGGCGAAAGCTGTTGACGATSCTTTGAAAAGTATTGTGTTGATGTTATTACTGAGTGTTTTGTTGAAACCACTTGTTCTTTGTAGAAATTTCTGTCATTTACACCCCATAAAATATTCATTATTTGTCGAAATTCTTTTAAAATGCTCCAAATATTCGCTGGAAAAGTAATTTTAGAACGCTATAGGTTTTTATTAGATTTTAGAGAATAATTTTGATACTTATAAGGCATGAGTTTTGGAACATTTTGATGTTAAGTGTTAAAAACTGTTCATGAATAAGGAGCTTATCACGCAACGATTTTTAACTCGTTTTGTACTTAACTCAAGTTTTTATAAAGACATGACACCATTTAGATATGCAATTTTGCTGTAATTTTATAAATTTCACTAATCACGTCGTGTTAGTGYCTGAGGGGTCTATTCTGGATAAAAAAACTTACAATCTGCGATGATTTCGAGTCGATGAACGCCATTCACCGAAAGAGCTCCAATAACTGTGAGTGGCATTCTATATACGTCTGAAGTTTGCCACGTCCGAAATTATGTCGGTATATCGCTGTAGTTCGTTCACGTATTGTAGTAATGTTCTCTTCATGTGCAAGTAGGTTTTTGAAAGCATCGCAGCGACTTGAACAAGAGTGCGTTATGTTTCTTAACCGAAAGAAGAATGYAGTCCTCAATATGCAGATGTACGATAGACGACGTAAAGATACATCTTTTAGTAGTCTGGAGTGTGGTATGCCGACTTTAGGGATCTTCTCTAACTACGTCCTTGCCATAAGTGCTGCTGGCAGGCTATCCATTTGAGACATCATTCTAATGATTGAAAGTAACACTTTAAGTTGTTGTATGTGGTATGTCGGAATTTTAGCGTCGTCGACGAAAATTTTGTGGCGAAGCCAGTGTTTCTTCATCCAGTTACGTATAGTAAATATAGTTGCTGTGGATTTAGCAAGTGAGAACTTAATACTCCTTTCTGTGAGGACACGAGAAAGGTCGTGGATACATTGCACACACGTTACGATGATCTAACTCAATTTTTTCGATAAGTAATAAAAATGTTCTTTTTAAGAATGGAAGATGTAGTATRAGTTTCTTTTTATAGCTGAAAAATTGCATTGCATATTTGACTAATGTACTTTGTCTACATCTTAGCTGATATTGTTGCTTCAGACACTGAAAGGATGCAGGATGTAACATTGGAATCTCTCCAATTCTGTTTAATATTTCTCTCAGACGGTAATGTTTTAATTTTTTTGGATAGCTAAGTACAAAATTGTAAAGAATTGCAATATACTACAAGATGACCTCKTTTAGGGGCTGTTCCAACAGAGGTTATGAAACAAACTGCTGATGCATGAAGTAGGGTTACGATGAGATGACCTTTTGCAAACGGTGCATGGGCATTAAGAATGATAAGGGACGTAAAATCTTCTTAGACTATTGGTGGTTTGTAATGATCTATTTTGCTCTCCCCTTTGATGAATTCCAGGATTATTTTGTGTGCCATTAAGGCAATTTATTTCSTACTGTTTTAATTAATTTTTCTATATACAAACTTATGGTGAAGGCCTTTTCTTATAAGAAGCGAATCCTGCAGCAATGTGTTTCGACGTTTTCGTGCCATCAGTGTATCGCAAGTAATAGATTACGTGTTAAATCACTTCACTGGGCCTTACTGCCGTTTGATAATAGGGTATCTTTGTATATAGAAGGTCCCAAGTGATCTTTTTGTAATCAGACAAAATTACCTTACCTGTAACATATTCCGAAGTTGTCATTTACACTTAATGATTCTTGACTTACAGCGTGCTGACTTTATGGCCAGACATTTGCATTAGGGCGAAATCTAGTATGAGGTAAAGCTAAAGGTTAGGGGCCTTAATCCCGGAAAGGACCTTCTTCTGGTGGAAGGTCGATGATTATTTTCGGCGTGTTGTTATTTGTACTATACCTATACTATTCTTTTCCCGAAGTCTCTCAGAAATAAAAATTGGACTATAGTATAGTCATATGTGTGCATTATGAGAATCGTATAAAGTGCTCCAATTGTGTTTTGAATAATTGTTTTCATATTGTGGATTTATTGTTCGTCTTTATACTCGGAATTGGTAATAATAAGTTTGCCACGATGTTTTTTGTATTGCTCAACGTCCGATTTCACAGCCATATTAGTTTTACAGGGATACCAAATTCAGACATAGCGGCATAGAGGCAGCTTCTGTCAAAACGGCTTCAAAATCGACGAGGAAGTGATGTGTGTCGATTCTCCTTTTACAGGTCTYTTCCAAGATTTTCTCGACCAGAAGCCACACTGATAATCATCAGACCGTATTCTATAAAGAAGCTGATGTATGCTCCTTATGAACTCTTCGCCGCCGTATTTGAATGACGGCATCCGCTCGACGGCAATCCATCGGCCCCCGCCGTTTAGTTGTTCTCGAGATTTTTGCTATTCGAGATTCTTAAYGGTCAGCTCCATTCTCATCGATTGGGTAATCGGGTTCACCATCTGATTTTTTGTTTTCTTTGCCATTCAGCTGGTTGGAGAAGTGTTCCCTCCATAATTTCAGTATGCCCTAGGCATCAGTCATTAGATCACCTTTGGGGKTTCCACGATATTYGTAACACTGAGAAGGAAATATCGGTCTAATAAAATGCATATATCTATGATCAATAGGACGAGATAAATCGAGCTAGCCATGTCTGTCGGTTTGTCCGTGATATTATCTAGAGCAATAATGCATTTTCCGAAGAAATTGTTAAGATCRGATCACTATAGCATATAGCTGCCATACAAACWGAACGATCGGAATTAACATCTTATTAGGAAGMTTTTTTATTTGTCAAGGGTTTATAGCTTCAGCGGCACTGAAGTTAACGTCTTTTTTGTACTTTTTTGGAACTATTATTTTTTATTTCAAAATTTGCTCCATTTAACATCTTGTTATCTCTATTATAAAATCGAGTGCACGATTAATTCATATAAATTCGTAAAAGGCAGCTAAATCAAGGCTGAATATTTAAGCCATAATTTATTTATTCACATAATTAATTACACTACCYACTCAATCAAAATATTCATAGTTTAAAGCGTACGCTTGGCTTGGCGTGGCGGCCGAAAATAATTTGAATACTTTGCCTGCCATTAAGGATTCATTTCAATGACACTCTACCGACTTACAACATGCCATTTTAATTTTCGGATTTCTAAACTAAACTTCACAGTCATTTCATTGCCATTTGATGAGTTTAGTTGTGTGGTAGTGTGTGTGTGTGGCAACTTAATCCAACCGACGCTTTCGGCCAGACTCATACAGTCATGCCATTTAGTTAGTCATTCATTCATGCGCCCATTCACGCAGTCATTGCTTTCCATTCATTTCAGTCATTGCTCCCATGCTTTTTTGGCTTGCCGCCTTTTTTGATTGTTTTTGTTTTTGTCTATTCAGTCTTCTACTATTTTAGTTTGCGCCACACAATCAGTTTGCTATACGAAGGAGATATGAGTGTTTGCTGTCAGCCACAGTAGACGCTATGTTGCCCCCACCGCGACGGCGCTGCAGCTGCACTAAAGCTCATCAAAAGGAGTAAAAAGTTAAAAAGGAACAAATATTTGCCAGAGAAATGGAATATAATAAAAAAGTGAGCAGGCGATTGGCAAAAAACTGTGGCCCCTAAACCGCACTTTTACGGCCAATTTGTACTTTTCACAGAAAATTATTATCAAAAAACGGCGACGCATAGACAGCCAYATGAAAGCGCTGACAGACAAACSTGTATGAGGAMGGTTCGATAAGCACTT